TATCACAAACAGGCTACACGAATGAAGATGTCGCTCATGCTTGGCTTGATCACTTTATCAAGCATGTTGGTGCGGGCCCCAATGAACATTGGCGTATTCTCCTTCTCCATGGCCATACCACCCACCGACAGGATGACTTTACTATAAAATGTCATGAGCATCACATAATTCCTTTCGAGTTCCTATCTCATCTTACACATGTACTGCAACCTCTTGATGTTGGCGTCTTTCAGCCCTGGAAGCACTACCACAATAAGGCAATTCATCATGCTCTACACTCTCTCGATATGGAGTATACCATCTCCTCCTTCTTCCGCGACTTGCACTCAATCCGTCAGCAAACCTTTCAGCCATATACGATTAAGAATTCCTTCAAGGATTCTGGAATGTTTCCTGTTTCTTATTCCAAAGCTGTAAAGAAGATGAGACTTTACAATAATAAGAGCAAGAAGATTGGAGAAGGAAGTAGTAGTCCTCACAATGGACAGAATAGTCAAATGGCAGTTGGGCCAAATCCCAGATCGGTTGAAGCACTTGATCAGCTAGATCTTCCTGAGCTTCCCAGCACTTATTTTGATTCTCAGCAAGGTTTAGGAGAATGGATTGACCGAGCCGAAACCTTTAGCCCAACTTCGAAGAACCGATTTCAAAAATGGGCTCACAGAACACAAATTCTGCTTACCGAAGCGCAACTACAACATGAGTTGTACCATCAAGTTCAGTCACGTGTTCGGGAGCAGGAGGCTCAAAAAAGGAATTCTCGTCGTGTTATTCAGAAAGGCGGAGTTATCATGATAGAGGCAGCAAGACAAAGAAAAAAGGAGAAAGCAGAAAAGGAGAAGGTAGCAGCAATAAGAAAAGCTCAAAAGAAGATTCAAGTAGCTATCAATAAGGGAAAAGCTTCATTGCATCGCCGTGGAATTGAGGCTAGAAGGGCAGAGCGGGAACGAAAAAGATCTAAAAGAGCAATTGAGACAAGTGGTGGTATTATTCCAGCAGAGCTCTTAGTTCCGATTATCGACCCAGAGAAAAATCCTACTGCTGAAGATTTGGAGTTACTCCAAGCACCGCCTGACTTATTAGAAGCATTACTGGCATTAGAGCCAATGGCTGATCGAGAAGAACAGGTTATTGAAGATGGTAGTGAAGAGGAGGAGATTCAACTTGAACATGATATCAGGAGAGAATTGGCTAAGAGGGGACATACAGAAGAAATGGAACTTGAAAACAGTAGGACTGATGATGATGATGATTTTGCTGAAGAATCAGATTCTGATTCTTCAAATCAATCAGCTGATTCTATTTCAATGAATGCTGATTTTGTTGTATTTACTTAATACTATATATCTTATATGTAAATACAGAGATGTGGTAAATAACTGGTAGTATAGAAACCTATTAGAATTAAATAGGTTAAAAAAAAAACCTCCTATTTTTTATGGGGCGTCACACTTGCTTCCGCGTCACACTTGCTTCCACCGACTATGAGCGACAGCGAAATAGGAGGGGAACCAGCTATTACCACAAATAAGGTTTCTTTTTTTTATCAAATTGTACACACTAACAATTGTCCTGTTGGCTCCTATACCTCCCACATTAACACCTATATCTGTAGGGTCTCCACCCCAAGGTCCTCATACAAGAGAAACAAACTAGAAAAAAGCTTGATTAGTTTACTAAGGCTCTCCCTGAATCGAAGCCCAAACTATGTAGATCTCTTTAATAGTGTACCTGTACATCTATTTTTATTAATTACTAACTTACTAAATTTATAAAAAATGAATAGCAGCGATGTTTAGGCTTCCAGTTCTTGCCAAGTTCATACCATAGCTGCTTAATACCTACCGCAAGTATCTATAGTGTTATCCAGCAGTAGTGAAAAAATTCCCCCTACTTGACCAGTAAGCTTGAACTCTTAATGGCCTGTAAATAATTCTAACAGTAATCATGTTTTGCAGAGTCAGCCACCAGTGGATCCCAGGCACAGGACCCTATACTCTAATCTTTCACATACACAGGCATAGAAATGATTGGGTTTTCTTCTAACAACATTCGACTAATATGCTATTGGAGTTATGCAGATGTTAGCCATTCCTGACCAGGAAGCCAAAATCTAAGGCCTCACAGAAGAAAAAGCCAGCAAAGTAAAAGAGAAAGTATATAAGCGGCTTGTGGAGTGTTTAGAAGGAGAGGACTATCTAAGCACTATGAATGAGCACTATAAAGAAGTCAACATTAACGATCTCATATTCACAATGCTTATCCTGGTAATTGATATGTATAAAAGAAAAACTGGATGAAATCTATACTTGTGCAGGGAAAAAGGAATCAAAGTTAATGATGGAGAACCGAGTGGAAATCAAGAGTTTGTGATGATCAATATTGTCGGCACTGACAATTGGGAATTTGGGTTGGTGGTTGAGGCAAAAAAGTCATCTCTAGATGAAGCAAAAAAAAATATATCTTCTTGTGATAAAGAACTTAGGGGAAATAAATGGGGGTGGTACTATGGTATATGGCTTCATAACCACTGGTGAGGAGTAGCAGATGCTACAATTCGATGGTACTGGGTTTATACAGGCTGATAGTTTTTTTGCATTATTCGGTGAAATGGTACAGGACAAGGAAAACTGAATACAGGAATGGTCAATTGTCGTGGACTGCATCCATGCCACCTTGAGAAGTGGAGGATTTGTTATTAAATAATTGAATTGTTTGCTTCTCAAGGTGGCTGGACTTTATGAGAGTAACATTTCTCCAGTTTACAAACAATGAAAAGACTCCCTGCCCCCAAGACCTGTCACTGATTTTCTCATTAGTATCACTTAATCTAAGTAGCAGGATGAAAATCTATAGTAAAGAGAGGGTAACTGGCCTGTCAGGTTGCTCATGGGGGTGGATGAAATTGATACTCATTGTAGACTTTTGTATTGGGGAGATGGGTATGAGGCTGGTTGGGGATAATACTGGGAGGATTAAAGGGTATGTGGGGGACGAGGCTACCCAGGGGTGACTACGAGGGGGGGAGTGGGAGGTGATATGGAAAGTGGATTTGCCAGTTGTTGGGAGGAGGGACATGGCCAAAGGAAGGGTGAAGTTATGTGGGTGAGGTAGTGTTGGAGTTGAGGAGGAGAGGAGGAGTAATGGTACTGTAAACCCTTCAATATTATCCCTGTTTTGTACTAACTGCTAGAAATTTTGATACCTTTGTAAAGACTTCTGCAATGGGGAGTGGAGTGTTGAATAAATACAAGACTACTTTTTCACAACTACCAATTATTAGGGACTTTGTGAAAAGACTCTGGATGTGGGTCAAACAGGGTTCTGGGCCAATGAGAACACTAGAATATGACTCTAGATGCAAAATCGCAAAACCTCTATTAACCGCCACACCAGACCTGAAGTTTTGGTAAATCCCATCTACACAGGATCAGCCCCAATGTCCCAGGTGGTGCCACCAATACGGGTCCGAGATGGGACCTCCATCTGGTGCCATCCCATGTCCCGACCCAGGCCACTAGCGCTAATGCAGGTTTGGCCCACCGTGGACCCTGAGAAACTTGCTAAGAAAATCCCAATAAATATATGTAAACGTAGGATGGTATTGAATCGGATATTTAGGGAAATTGTATTTAGTTCAGTATTGTTGCATCTCATACTCCTGGCGAGTTGAAGCTGTGTAACCAGTCACATTGTGCAAATGTTATCCCTTGGTCTACTGAGACAATGGTAAAATTTCTCTCATGCATTAATGCTATCCAGGTCCTCACTTCACTCATTGAAGGATTTTGAAAAGGACCGCAAAAGATGCTGCGCTGCATTGGCAACTGACTGGGGAGATCAGGGCAAGACACGATCATCATCAGGATCAGATGCACAGATGCTACAGACACTTGCTCGACTCCCCGTTCTACAATGGACAACGCTTCCCGGCTCCGTGGGACACACTACTAACTGTGGACAGCGGCGCGCGAACCCGAGCGGAGACAATAATGTCTTCTTGTGTTTTGTTGTTGTTTGTCTGTCTTCAGTTAAGAAGTACGACGGGTATCCATGACAGGGAGCGTGGTGGGTATGGTGCCTGTGACGAGCATGGGGATAATAATCGAGGCAACAATATGGGCTGAGTGGACATTGGGGGTGTTGTCTTCCTCGGTTGTCTGGGGGGCAATTTTTATTGTCTCGGTGAACCGGTATGAAAAGGAGGTTCTTTTTTTTCAGTCCTGTTATATACCCCCATTTTGGTACTAGCTGTCGGTTACTGCTAGTTGCGGTAATCTCCCCGCGTTTGATCTTAATCATGATGTTTATTTGGTGGATGACCCTCACATATTCCTACATCTGAAATGCCTTCCCTCAAGCCAAAACATGCCCAAGGCCATTCCCAAAGCTATCAGAACAACGAACTATCGTGATAGCATGCCGAGCAGCGCCTCGCGTTATCTAACAGCAGTTGCAGGGTTAGATATCGGCTGAGCATCGCTCGCAGGACCTAGTACAAGGACAGGAGTATACTCAAGTTGCCGGAATGAAGTCGCGTTTCCTTTCGCGGTATAATGCATCTTGGCGTAGCAATGGGGCTAGTTTTATAGGCAGCATTCAACGCACCGGATGCGAGTATCATAAAGTACTGAAGATGGGTCAGACATTTGCAAAAGAGTCGCTATCTCATACAGTATGCTCTTTCATGTCTTGCAGGCTCATGGCTAATAAAATAATAAATATATGAAAATGAATTATAAGAAGAGAAGGAGTACGATCACTGTTTTCAAAGGGAAATCGATGACAAGACTACTCTTGTCCACCACTTCAAATTTTGCTTACAAAACAGCACCCATTACCATGCCAAGATACATTATACTTTAAATGGAAATGCAACTTCAATCCGGCGACTTGAGTACATCTATCCTCTCTCCCACGGACACGCCGCAACATCTCTTCTTCCGCCCTCCCCCACCTCCTCCCACAGACAAGTAAGCCTATAGCTAACCCGCATCCAGCTTGGAATCCCCAAAACCCACTGCCAAAAGCTCCACCATGTGCCTGACGCAGAACTCAGCGAGCTCCTCCCCGTCACAAAGAACCTCTCCGTACCAGTCCTTGTAGTGGAGTACAACATTTTGCAAAACAATGTGGGGTTTATCAGCTTGTTGATCATGTTTATGTTCATATGGTAGGTCTCCTTATTAGGCCATACTTGGTGGAAGGGTTTGGAGGGCTAATCATTTGGTGGTGTGGGGTATATTCCAAAACCGAATACCAAGGAGGGGTTGGGGATTGAGTGGCCGGCGCAGGCTACTGATATGGATAGGTTGATGGTGCTGTTTGAGGAATTGAAGGCGGAGATTTAGAGGGGGCAAGGGAATAGGGTCAAATCATTGCTTTTCTGAACGAGTGGGATGCGATCGTGCCATTCAATTAGTTTCTGTGACAATAACAGAAAGTACCTAGCTTGATATTAAAGAAAACGGTGAAGACAGCTCTAAGCCCTCCATTTCTTTCTCCCCCACGGCCCCCTCCTCCTTTTAGGCATAACCAAACTCAGATATCCGAAAAGGAGCCTTCCAAAAGAATAGCTCTTCCGATAGCTCCCGACGTACTTCAAATAACTTCCAAAAGTCGCTTTCGATCCGTGCATGCCCCCGAAGACAGAGCTCTCGCTGATCCCCGAAGCTAATGAGGAGGAGGAAACCATGGGGATAGCTTCCGACCGTCGAAGAGAGCCTTTGGGCTCCTCTAACTCAAACATTTAGCCTTACTCGAAGAATGGGTGATATTCGAATGAGTATGCCAAAATCTCACTTCCTCTATAAGAGACTGTCCAAGCTGGGGATACCACTTGTTTCCCTACCCAGCCCCTGCCTCCTAAAACCTCCCAACTCCTCCCCTCCCGGCTGCACTGGAGCCGGCACGAGTGCCTGAGACCCGCTCTCAGAGCGCTCACTAACCAGTGACGCAACTGTCGACGTCCCTTCCCCCTCATACTCTTCCTCCTCACCCTCCTCCTCGCCCTCCCTCATCCCAACTATCCCAGCGGCAACTACCGTCCTACCCGAACCGCCATTGCCACTCCAATGCGCCTCCTGCCCCTCTCCCTCGCCTGTTCCCTCCCACCGTACGACTGCAAGAACTGAGCGGCAATCGGGTTTCGCTTTCTTTTATTTATATCTTCTGTTTGCGTGCCCCGATACGACCTAGAGCGATCTACCCACATAATATATCAGGCAAGTGGATAAATAGAGAATCAAAAAATAAGGAAAAAAGTACCGGTACGGCACCAGTATGCTTGTACAAGAAAACTTTAAAAAAGAGCAGAAACCCCGCCTTAACACACACCCCACACCCCGCCTTATCTCCCAAATCATCACGCGAGTGTGCCTATGAGTAATAACGCTACCATACTCTCCTTTTATCGCAAAGCTTGACCCCCCCCGTCCTATGCGGACGAACCAGCGAACCAAAATACTGCAGCGATAATGACCTACATACCACGCCCTGTGCAAAGTGCCCCACGTTCGACAAATTCCACCCTTGACGGCTACTGCAGGCTTCTTTCCGTCACGGCAGGACACGGTGGATATATATATATAAGCTCCTGTTCTCTTGCGCGGGGCTATGATTCAGTGGTTTAGATGCACTTTTGTCACCGGGTAGACATGTGAGTCACGAGTGTGGGCAGGGTGCCTGCGCAAAGTACTTGAGTGCCCGTAAGTGTCGCGTGCAGAAGACCGGATTAACCGTTGTTGGTTGGACTCGGTAGTGCAGGCGCGGGTGATCGGCTCTGAGGATTTGTTGGGATGAAGAAGTGAACTGTTAGTTTTTAGACGAGTGACAAGCTATGATGAAGTTAATGCGGTAACGGTTATTCAAGCTATGATAATATTACATTAATTATTAACACCACCGACCGAGTCCCATGACGTTCCCGCCCCACCCAAAACTTGTCAATTTCTTATCATACCTGCCGCCTGTTGCCTTAGCTTCTTCCCTTCCCGAATCTCTCTCCTAGCTGTCGCATTCCCCTTTCCCCCCCGCCTTTCTCCCCTTCTGCTAGCGGCGCTTAGCATCTGCTCCTTTACCAGATATTTGACTTTATTACCACTCCCTTTCTCATGTCTGGTCAGAAATTGGTAATCGCTCGCATGGGTAAGTAGGAAAAGATACGATCCCCCGGCATCCAACGAGGACGGAGCAAACCTGGGAAGAATAGAAAGAAAAAAGAGAAGAGAAAAGAGCCGGGACTCTTCCCCCCTTATCTTCATCAATATCTAATGGAATTCTAATCCAGCCTAACCCAGCTAGGCAGTCCCAAAACCTCTGCCTCCAAAACCTCTGCCCTCCCTAAGGACGCTAGTGCTTGCATGAGCGGTGTGTGGGAAATCCCTGCTTGCTGGAATCGCAATGGGATCATCCGCGCGATCGGTGAGGTATTTGAGGAGGCGGACATTCATCCGCTCGAGCTGTTCGATGGTATCCCCGCCCACCTCGGCGAGAAGGCGGCAGCTCAGGTTGGTCAAGAGCATCGGGTCGCAAACTTTTATCATTCGCAGAGGGGGCAGAGCAAAGAATGGAGAGGAGGAGCAGGGTGGGAGAAGATGTAAAGGTGAGGTTATACCTTTTATTTTGCTTATACAATTTTGAGTGTGATAAGCTATTTTCATCACGGATGGAGGTGGTGGGAGGCACAGTACACCTCCAGGTTTTACATGGGTATCGCTGGTGAGTGCCCATACGGGCTTTTGCTCAGCTAGCACTACTGTACTCGAGTACAATAGTGATTATGATTTCCCCCCCGCCGGTCTGTGGTGGCTACCGAGACTAGGGTTTTGTGTGCGAAAGATATTATACGTATGATATGGGCTGCCGGAACTATACATTCATAGCCCATATCTACTGAAAAGCTAGAGCACTGTGGCGGACCACTACAAAAAAAAATCGAAGCAAGCACTATATAAGCTTTTATATAAAGAAAATAAAAGATGCTACAGGATCATCAATCCGCGATCTCCATCTCCTCGCCCTCCCCGCCAGCATTCCAATCCTCACCCCATAGCCCATCCAATTCAAACTCTTCAGTCGACTCTTTAACGATCTCTTTTCGATCATCAATTATTATGGCAGCGGTAGCCACCAGAAAGCCTGGGCGTTTCGGTTCGGCAGAGTGATAATTTGTGATCGCAGACTTGGTGATTGTGCTACGGAAAGTCATAAATGTAAGAATTTCCCACGCAAAAAAACTAGCGGAAAGAAGTCGGCCCTTCACTCCCGTGGTATTAATTCCTGCCCCGCGGCATGGGAAACGTGGGAGCTGGGGGGCTGTGGAAAGGGCGTCGAGTGAAGCTATAGGGAATGGAGAGGAGTGGTAGCTACTATGGCATTGCATACATACTCGGGAGGTTTTTTCGTATAATCATTCAATTCTATGGCTGTATTGAAGGAGTGGAGTGGAGTAGAGTGGATGGCTCGAACAGGGCCGACAGAGTTGGTGATTCAGGCCCTTCTGGAACCGGCTAGGCCAAGCAGCGACCGGTGATGGGGGTGAGGTGATGTGGCCAGATGGTTGTGCTGATGCTGTCAGGCCGGGCACGCCGCGGCCTATATTTTGTCACCCGCAAGTCTCGTCTTCAAACAAACCGTCAACCCCACACCATATCCAACCACCAATTACTCAATTTGAGCTCTCTCTCTTTCTCTCAACTTATCCCTAGCAACTTTCTATTTGGTCGCCTGATCATGTCCGACCAATTATTTGATCAAGTTTTAAAAGCAGCGAGGACCGGCAATCCCGACGTGTTGCGCTTTCCCGACGTTGATCCGGAAGACTTCGCATATTCCCTGGAAAGCTTACGTGCTCATTCCGATCGCCATGACCAATATTCCTTTCGGTAATTTAATTGCCCCACAGTTGGCCTGAAATATTGATGACTTGCTAATGCTCACAGCATCCACTGGTTTTCCCGTGAAAACAGATTGAAGCTTGTAATGCCTTCGATGCTTCACGCATGTGTTTCATCATGGGTTATTGGAAACATCATGGAAGCCACACGCGATCATCTTATTTCCAGTGCCTGGTATTCCACTATGTCGCCGATGGGTTCTCCCGGTATGTTGCTGACTACTTCAGGATTCAGTATTAAAGGCCGGAACCTAGCTAATCCTATTCTCCGCTGGCAGAATATAGCAATTTCGTCGGTGCATATAAAGGCTCAATAAAAAGGCCAACCTTTGCGTTTCAACCTCGTGGAGATCCAAGTCCGGGCGGGCTTCCTGAGTTCCCCACTGTCGTTGTGGAATCCGGTATCAATGAGCCGCATGCCGAGCTTCAAGAGAATGCCAGACTCTGGCAAGAGGGTACAGCAGGAGCTGTGCGAGTTGTACTACAAGCCCAATTTTCTGCACCTACTAAGGAGAGCAAAATGAGACTTCTCCTATCTGTTTCTCGTTTCGGTCCGGACGGACACCAGATGCTACATGACTATTACGCAAGTTTTTTCCTTACACTACATACCCCGATACCTGTACTAATATTTGTTATGTGCACATAGGACATTTTTCCAGCCCCCCCCCCACCCCCAACAAGACCCGTATGTCACTCTGGACGAATTCTATGGAGGAAATTGTCCCCTTAGCATTGAACCGAAAAATGCCGTTCCGTTCAGCCTTACGTTCCTTCGTGAAGTAGCAGACCACTGGATCCGCAAGGGGGGTCATCTCCCTGCCTAAGTTGCTTTAGAAGCAACAGCCCTGGTCGGGTTTCTGACCTATTTTCCTACTTAAAACCTCTGTAGAATAAACAAAAGCAATAAATAAGGGGCTGTTTGGCGCGACATACTTTAGCTTTCAACCATATTCATGGGGCAAACCATAGATTGTACTTGGGAGTTCAGTAAAGAGCCGGAAGACCATCTCCACTTATCCCGTACAAGTGCATATTCTGTCTGGACAAGAAGGATATCTTCCGATTTTTACTGACACCCCCGAGCACAAGCGCTCAAGTTGTTAGATCAGAGTTTCCTCGTTTTTAGTGCATCAGCACCGGGGGGGAGACAAAACTCCGATTTGGTGACTTGAGTAGGGTGATTGTTTATTCAATAAAATCGGGGAGCTAATTAGACTACCTGCAGGTATGATAGTCGCAACGGCGCAGCCGTCAGTCTTGGCGCGGCATTGGAGGTCGTTAAACCCAAGGATGAAGTCGTCCATCCTAACCTGGTATTTGAGTCAGACAATGAAGGAATTGTGGCGACAGGGAGAGCAATGGGTAATTCCGATGTGAAGAAAAGAATGGATTCCATTCTGGAAATTCAAAAGTTCATCCATCGAGCATATTTAGCACTGTGGTTAACGC